ATTTTCTTGCCTAATCACAGCGATACCGTAATACCTCGCACCACATACGTCAAAAACGTTTAATATATTTTTCTTTGTGCTACTGTGTTGTCTTTCCTTCTTTACTGCTGCCTGTAATTTTTGTCTCGGGCTCCTGACTAGTAGCCTCCCTCCCCCCCTGTCCTCACCCTTTCACCTTCCCCCCTTTGCCCCCCGCCGCCTCCGCCCTGCTCCCCCCTCATTACGCGATCTAGCCGCTGAACGCTGGATAGCGGCATCCAGGCTTTTTTCAAGGTGACAAGCGGTGTCGGCAAGCGACGCCGCAAGATAGCGTAGTAGAGAAGTTAGAGTAACGGCCGAGCCGAGGTATAATAATTGCCAATTTTGCGCAGATCGTGTATGACGCCAAATGAGCTCGAGCCGAGTTTTTATCATAGTTGTTCCCATACGTACGATACGAGTTCGAATTGTGCTGCGAGTGTTGTTCGATTTTGCAAATTATTTCAGGAAGAGGCGACAGGGCGGTGGCGGGTGTGAGATTCCGATGAGTGATGATGATGATGCGTTGAGGGCGTCCATTGCTGCGGCTGCCAGTGCCGCGCATCGTTTCTACACGGATATCAGTGCTGACGTGGACGATGAATGCGTTGCAGCCTCGTTGCAGGCCCGTCTTACGGTACGTCATCTCTTTCACAGATTCAGAATTCAGACTGCACTTCGCTGTCATCGATGCAGGGGGAAGGGCGTCAGTTGGGATGAAGGTGGTGCATTATAGAGCCGCGCGGACATCCAGGTGCGTGATTAGCGGTTTTTTGCATGAAGTCCGGTCGTTTTTTGGGTAAATGCTCGCTTTGTGAAAATTGCTGAGCCCGTACGTTGTTTGATCGCCTTTTGCTGCTGCTAGTGTGTTTTACTGTTTCGTTCCACGGAATGGTGGCCTGCTTTGTTTGTTGGCTGTTCTGTAAGTAATTTACCGTGTTTGTTGACTCCCTCCTGCCCCTCCCCGCATGCTGCTGCTGCATCGGAGTTTCATGAAAGGCATTTTGAGCACATATGCAGTTGGCCATGGGGCCAGCATTGTCAGGTGCGATGAGGGATCCAGCTCTGCAAGGCGCTTCTTGACGTAGCTTAGTGGTGCCGACCCTCTATCTGTCTCTGGCTCCCTGGCTGGTTGGCTCATATTTTGCGTATTTTGCAGGAGTTGGTTCGGGCGACGTGCGAGTTGGAGGGTAGTGCACGGCTGCGCCTCAGCTATTCGCCGTTGTGTGAGTTGCTCCGCTACAGTGCGCTGCTGCTGAAGTGCCCGGGTACGCCGCTGTTGGCGCGTTCGCGACTTCACCTGCTCCTCTTTAATCTCGGTGCGCCCGGTTTCTCTCTGTTCGTGTCTTCATCATCATCATCACTGTCATCATCATCAACGTCATTATCACCACCATTATCATCATCATCGTCATCATCATCGTCAAATGTTGCGTGTCTCTGTTTCAGCATTCCACAACATCGCTGTGCGCAGGCATCTGGCCGGCAGTGCGTTGCAGATCTGTGGCTGTGTTTTCGAGTGCCTGAAGCTCTCTCTTCGCGATCAGCTTGGCCCACAGAGCCTGATCGACATATTGCGACTGCTTCAGGTTGTTGCCGTTGCATTTGGTTGTGCAGTGCTACTAAATACTGCTCATGCCTATACTCTCTGTGTTTCAGGTGCTTACGTACGAGAGGAGCGTCGTGCTCGGCTCATGGACCAGTGCCCTTGTATCGTTTCTGCTCAGTGAAATGTGAGTGCAATTTTCGCGCCCTCTTTGGCGTACCACCACTTCCTTCGCCTGGCCACCGCACAGCCCACTCTGTCTCTCTTTTTCAGCATTTGTGCCGAGGAACCCGAATGGCTTCCCTACTGCCTGGCCGTGCTTTGCAATCTGGCCACTCGTTCCACCTCCGTCTGCCAACGAATTCGCCGATCGGTGATTTCTTCCTTACTCTATTTTTGTGCATTTTCATTGTCACCTTCAAGCTTTTCCCGTCCTCGGGTTAGTAATTTTCGCGCCAAAATTTCCGCGTGCCCGTACGTGGGCCCCGGGCAGCCCTAAGGAGCTAAGTTTGAAAACTTTTGGTCGTGCGTGAGTTGTTACAAAGCAAGTGGCCCTGAGTTATGCTAACACTGCACTTTCCGCTTCCAGCAATCGCACTTCACTTGGCGAGGTACGACATTTTGTTTGGATAATTAGATGTTTTGCTTGTTGCAGTCATCGTACAAGGCATTCAGTCAGAAGCTGCTGAAGCTATTGGCCCACGACTCGCGCACTGTGGTCATCTCCTCTCTTGTTCTCGTTGGCTTTTTGGAGGAGAAACTCCGAGACACGGTACGATTTCTGTCGTAATTTCTCACAATTACTTGTTTTCTGTCCTCCCTAATAATTCAGTATCTCTGACGGTTGAAATTTGTACTTCGGCTATTAAGAACTTAATTTCCTCTTTCTTTTTACGTTTTATTTCCCGATTATTAAATCAGAAACCCACTTTCATTGAGTTCACTTTCTTGTTATTATTACATTTGTTGCAGTTGCATTGCTCGGATCGGTAGTTTTTGTCGTTTTTGTTATTGTCATACTGTTGTTTTGTCGTTACTACTAATACTAGTATTATAACTATCATTATTATTATTGTTACCATCATTATTGTCATTATTATTATTATCGTTATTATCATTATTATTCTTGTCATTATTATCATCATTATTATCATTATTATTATTGTTACTATCATCATCATCATTACTAATATTATTGTTGTTTTTGGTCACTATCATTGCTAATATTTGAAAATTTAGGTATTTTGTTCCCGAAACATTCCGCAAACATTCCAGTGTATTTTCAATATTCTTGTTCTTGGTGATCATTTGATGACGCGGCATATTGCAGCTGATTTATTGAAGCGACTAGTGATCCGTGATGCTTCGAGCGTAGGCGCTTTCCTTGAAACATGCACTGGTAGTTGCTCGTTGAGACGCACAACTATAGGCAGAAAATTGCAGGTGCATTCGATTCCAGCGATCACATCGACCGGCAAAAATCTTGCCTCTTATTCGTATTTCGAGCAGAGCATTCAGCTTGTTGCCAATCTCCTTGTTCAGATTGATCCGCGCACTGAAGAGTCGCTGAAAGTTTGTTAAATTTTGCTTCAAATACTACTTGACTTCTTTGTCCTTTCGCTCTCGCTCAACCTTGCCTATTTCTGCTACCTAGTGCTTTCTACGTACTTCACCTTCCCCTTATCCCTGGCAGCAAAGAACAGCGCTTTTTCCACTTGTTTCCTGTATTCCCGTCTTCATTTAAAATGATTGTGGACTAGAAAACACACCGAACAGTAAGGTCTCTTTTGCTTCCCGCACGTTTTCCGACCCCATTTCAGCAAATACGCATCCTTTCGATAGTCCTGTGAGTGTTATGAAATT